CTGTAAATAGTGTCCATGGTCCATGGCTTCTAGCATTTCTTATTTATAAAGATGGCTTTTGTTTGTATTTATTTCACTAAAAGGGATGCGTTCTTTGGAAATATAAAGTCGCTGAAACATACATCACATCCTGAATGGCAACTTTTTGGCTTGTAGATGCTTTGTTCCAAGGCCAGCATGTATATTCTAGTACATTGTTATCATTTTTGTTGAGCGAGGGAATGCTTTGGCGTTAAAGTGGGGAGGATCCGCGGGCGGACAACACTGCTGTTTCCTTGCCTCAGAGCCCGGTTTTGAATACGAGTCTTCAAAGCCATTTTTATTTCCAGTGTTCAGTTTTAATTAAAAACCACATTCACAATTCTGTAATCCCATCTGCAGATCCAAAAGGGGAATTCATACAAGAGAAAATTAACTCATTATTATTAAAAGCACACTGCCTCTCCAATAGGTATAATAGAGTAACAGTTTCCCTCGGGCTCAGTGGTTCCTTATATTATAACTAAAATATTAGCAAATTTTAATTGATTTTTCTTACCTGCAAGCAGTGATCAAACTTATTTTTAAAACATACTTAATTTGATTTAGGTGATAAAGGGATTTGCTAGAAGCTGCTCTTTTCTACTGGCAAGCATGAGTTGGAAGTTGAATGGTCTTGACTTTTTTGAAATGGTGATTCAATTTATTTTTATAATGGGAACTTTTGTCCCCAGGACTCTGTTTTAGGTAAATTTATGGCACATGATATCCTTCTTTTAAAATTTTTTTCTAATGTTTACTTTTGAGAGACAGAGACAGAGCATGAGCAGGGAAGGGCAGAGAGTGAGGGAGACACAGAATCCGAAGCAGGCTCCGGGCTCCGAGCTGTTAGCACAGAGCCCGATGTGGGGCTTGAATCCTTGAACTATGAGATCATGACCTGAGCTGAAGTCAGACGCTTAACTGACTGAGCCACCCAGGCACCCCAGCACATGATATCCTTCTTAAGTAACATTTCTTTTAATTTGTGTGTCTTTATAAGAGTATTTCAGAAGAAAGATCAACTATCCTTTATTCTTTCCAAAAGCTACAAGTTCTTGGTGTGCTGTTTGTCATTACCATTGTGCATAACCGATGAGCTTGTTCTTGAGGATCTTCCCCTGAATTCTCCCATAAAATGTAGGCCTCTCTTCCAGTAGCCCCATACTGCATGAAGTATGTATCCTTTGAAAAAGAGCCCTGTTCGAAAGTACTTAACTTGCTTTCCATGAGATAACTATTATGTGTAGCTGCCAGTGGACCATCTGTTTTTGAATCTTATTTCTTAAGGTCTTGTAGTGAGCTTGATGGTAAAATATCTTCATGGAAACAAAAAATATGTGAGATAAATTAAGTTAAAAAAAAAAAAAAAAGCACGTGGCAAATTTAACTTGAGAATGAACGTAAAAACTGGCCAGCAGGGTACTCGCTGCACCACACAGAGAACAGTGCTTTGCCTTATCTTAGTAGTCAGTACAATAGTATTGAATTGTTTCCAGTTTGTTACCTCCTCGTGCCCTATGACTTGTATTGCAGTGTTTGTGGTTGAACTGTATTACATTTCATGTTATGTTATATATGAATATGTTAAATGGTATTATGATATACATATATACACAAAGGTAAATGAAATGCTTTTTACTAAATATGTGAAATACATATCATGCTGTGTTCTTCCGTGATAATTTCAACTACCTATTATTTCCATCTTGTTCTCTTATTTGTTGGTATTATGCTGCTTTATTGTTTTTTTCATTTCCAGTTCACTTCTTTCAATATTTCCTGTCTTGGTCATCATGAAATTTTATTTGTTCTTATCTTTTTGTCATTTGTACATGTCATTAGCATTTCTTCTCTGGGTTCTCGGAGTATTTAGATGTCATGAAACAACCACTTCTGTGTGTTTAAGTAAATACATAATCAAAATGCATGAGTTTGTTTTTTTTTATAATGTAAGTGCTCAGACATGTATATTTATGTGTAAATATATATTCATAC